CACTGATGTCCCTCAGTACTGGAGGCATATGGAGAATAACAATAGTTGACACTTACTGAACATTTGTGTGGGCTTTCTTATTTGGTCCTCTGAGCAACTCTAATAGGGTAAACATTATTACCTCCGGTATCATAGATGGGGAAACTGAGGCTTAGAGAGCAATTTGGCCCCTTTATACAAAATCACCTATTAATAAGTGGGAGGGGAGAGACCACGCTCAAGTGCACTTTTTCATACCTGTTTGGTTTTCTTCATTGAGTGTAAACATTTGTGCTAGAGACTGGATAAGACACTATCATATCCAAAACGAGTCATTCCCCAAGGGCCTGACCATCCAGTTAGGAAGGTAAGATAAGATGGTTCCAGGACAGTGCACAGCAGGGTCTGTTCAGTGGCTGTTGGACTAGAAAAAGAAGTCCTTGAGGGTTGGGGAAATGTTACAGGCGAGGAATGTAAGTGATGCTCAGTGAATGGGCATTTTAGGCAGAGGTTCTGTGGCATGAGCAGAAACAGGGAGTTGGCAACAGGCAAAAAGTAATGATGGCAGTGAGAAAGCCAGCACTATGGGACAAATAGTGAGAAGGGCGGAATGGGACCAAAGCATGGTATAGGAAGGTATACAATTGGAGGATGGGAGTAGAGAGGTCTTGGAAAGCTATACTTGGAAAGGCTGTGCATTGGATGTGGGAGAGTATGGAGTCAGAGAAGCCTGGCACAGGCTACCATAGTAGATCATCTTTGAGGTCTGGGTTTGAGTGTGGTTGGTGATAATGGGACTGTAAGGCCAATGGACAGATTTGGTGACTGACTGGAAATGGGCGAGGGACCCCATATATTTGATTAAAGAGTATGAAAGCTACTGTAAATTTTTTTTCTACTGTGGCTTTTAGACCTCTGTTATATTCCATAAACCTGATCCTGTGCATTTTTTATTTTATTGCTTCTATTCATTAATTTTCTTCAAAAGATAGTTTTGAATGCCTCTTACACACCACATTTCCAGGTGTGGGTGATTTCTGTGTGTGCATCCTTCTGAAAATACAGATGTACACGAATTAATAGCAATTTGTGTTTAAGGTGCAACTGTTAGGAATGCCTCAGCTACAAGTGGAAATCAATCCCTTTTTAGCATGTGAAGACAGAAACCATTTTTGTTGAGGCCTCAGAAATATAATTTAGCAATCAGAACCAATCAGCTTTTAACACAATTTCATACACAATGATTTCAAGGTATTAGTGATGCGGAGACTAAAGCAACAGGTGATAAGAGTTTTGCGCGTTTTTATAAGGGTTTGCTTTGCCCTTAGACAGGCTGGCTACACCTCTTTTGAGCCCTCTACTTATAAACATGGTTAAAATAGCAATCTGAAAACTTAATGACCCTATTCCTCTTGGTTATGACAATTTGGCATTTACACATGGCATTGCATAATAAGATGCCATATTTGGATGGCAGACATCCTCAGAGTGGTTCTGGGTTTTCTTTTTTTAGAGCCAAACTGTTTTGTAGGTTGGACTTTCAAAAAGCTACACATTATTAAATTTTCTTTTTCCTTCACTGACTTGGCAACGTACCTTTGGGCTGCATGTTATTTCCCAAGATGGGAAATGAAAATAAGTTTATTTTTGCCCTTGTGTTACTTCAAAGAGATTTTATACAACATTGATATTTTCTTTTGCTTTTATCACCTATGGGAGGCAAAGTGCACTGTTAGATATTGTAAGATTTGCTTCATCATGGAATATTTTAAAAAATCTGGCATATTTATTTTTAACAACTCAAATGTTCCTTGAAGGGTATATTTAGCACAGTCAGTCAATATTTGCTAGGGGAACAAAGGGTTAACCAAATGTACTTGACAAAACTGAATGGAAGCAAAGCATATATTAAATATAATTGGGGCTTCTTTGCCCTATTAAAGAGTTTTGTTTAAAATGCACCATGACCAAAAGCTTAATTATTAAAATAAAACAATAGGCATAAAGAGTTATAGGCTTCTAATATTTTTTTTTCAGCCCCAGTTCCCTTCACACAGTTATCAGCATGTTTAATTTCCATGCATAATAGCACTAGTTATTGTTGTCATTTGTAAAGGGAGATTAACAGATAGTAAGTACAAACAAACCCAAATAAGTACTGAATAGAGAGGTGACAAAGAAGAAAAGACCTCTTTAATGTTAATTATAACTGGTAGGAAGTCTAGACAAATTATATTATCTATTTTCTATATGATTTGAAAGGACATTTAGTTAGTAACTCTGTCAGAGATAGAGTTGGGTGTTTGCTTTAGAAACAGGTGAGGTGACAATTTAGCATCTCCCTGGATGGCAGCTCACCTGGTGAGTCATGAAGTTGTGGTAAATTGATGAAATCAAGTTGCAAAAACACCTGAAAAGAACTGTAGCTTTTTGAACATTGTATTTAAAAAGTTGAAAAATCATTTTAACTCTGGGTTGTATTCTGATACTCAATACTTTATTGTCTCAAAACATGATAATTGACTTACCTGCTTGCTTTTTTAAAAATTTTGTTAAAGAATTGAATGAATTACAACTGTGGTTGTGACTATTAACTGATAAATGTTCCGAAGTGTGTAAAGTCTCAGGTAGCAAATGTAGTGTCAGAAATCCAAATAAATGATGAATGGGTGGTTCATTCTTGTATTTTTCATACATCGTTTCCCTTGAATGCTACTGTTTCCTTTATTAATATGCGTTTAGGCCCAAACCCATGTAGGGTACTTCCAGAAACAACTAGTCTCACCTTTTGTTTTATAAGCTACATTTAAAATGTACTACCAGCTGTTGCTGTCAATCCCACTATCCCTCTGTCTCCCCTATGCCTGAAACATGCTAAACCAAAGTATATTTTTTCTTTAATTCTGAGGGACCATCAGTTTTGAGCTGCACTCTTAATGGCTTTTTTGGAGGGAACAAATACATGTTATTTGTAAAGGCATCTGAGTGAGTTTCAGAACTCTTAAAATGTATCCTCAGATCAAGAAAATTTGGTAATAGGCCCTCGGAATTGAAAGAGTTGCCTGTGACTAAGAACCACTGATTCCCTTTTCTAGTTCAGGGTCTTTTGTTATGGTTAGTAGCTGTATGTCTCAGATCCGTAGAATCCACACAACTCTATCTCTTCTCTGTGTTATTTTAGTTGGTACTGTGCAACGTGGTTCTTAAAACCATACCATAGCGAATTGCTGTTTTGTCTTTGTGTATGTGGATCTTGCTTTCCTATTTAGATTATAAGTTCCTGAAACTGTGTACCTGGGGACTCTTTGCCTATTCCCCACAGTATTTAATACAATTCTGGGCATATATTAAAGGTTTCATCAGGATTCCTTGAGACTCTACCTGAAAAGTTGATGTTCCTACTGAAGGTAGGAGTGAAGTATATTCTGAATGTATTGCCTAGATGAATTTTACATTCTTTAAAGGCAGCATCTTTTCTTTCAGTCAGAAAGTTCTACAGTGTACTTTCTCTGGTGTGAAAGCCATAACTGGAGCTGGAAGAACTGATTCTGGGCACTTTCCCTTGAATTTGGTAGTAGCTACTTCCAAGAAGAAGATTGAGGTCATTCAACAAAACACTGAGTGGGGACATACTGCAGCTTTGGATTAATGCCACATGACAACTTTAATAAGTGGTAGATGAAAGTCCCTAAAGTAATTAAGCAGTATTTGTGTATATACTGCTCTTATCTGGGGAGAAAAGGCATTGGCCTTTTCTGAAACTGAGGTTGCTCAGTTTTGAAACAGAGAGTATGGTTAAACATGTCATTGATCCTTTTCTTCATCATATCACAATCATATCACACAGCATTCTCTCTGGCCTTCACTCTTGTGCACATTTTCTCTCTGCCTAAGTTATCTTCCCTGCTTCCTCCACCTACTAAACCTCTACTTACTCCTGAAGACCAGTTCAGAAGTTCCACTTCACCAAATACTCCAACACCCAAATGCAGTCAGGTCCCTACTCACAGCTCCCCAGGTCGGGACCCCATGCAACAAGAGAAAATACCTTGTTCACCTTTATCCCCTAGTGTTTCACCCTCATTTGCCTTAGGGCTCTCATGCCTAATACATGTAGCACTGAAGCCCACAGGCCCTGGTGACTTCATAAGAACACCAGAACTTTGCTCAACCCCACATGTGAAGTCTTGAAGAATTCTGTGTTTAACAGTTAAGTTTTATAGCAAACATAGTGCTCATTTAAGTTAACAGACATGTTGTTACCACATCTCTATGAGAAAATTTAAACAAGGACTGTGAGAGAAAGTACCTGAAGAAAGAGAGAGGAGAGGAGGGTTTTAAAGTCCAGGGAAGTGGGCAATGGCTATTTGAAACTACTGGAAAAGAGTGGTCGGTTGAAGTTGTCCTTGAAAACGTTGCAGCCAATTTTATGCCTCCAGGGAACATGCATAAAAGAATCTGTTTTCATTAAAAAGGAGGTAATTGCTTACATTTTTAAGTGTTTCTTTTATGTCAAGGATAGCTGTAGGCACTCTAAATGTATATTACAACAAACCTATAAAGAAAGTGTTGTTATTGTGCCCATTCTATAGAGAAGGAAACTGATCAGAGCAATTAAGTAGTCTGTTGGGAAAGGCATTCATTTCTATTCAGTATACTCTACTTTGGTAATGGCCTTTACTACTGAACTAAAACCCATCAGTTTACATTCTGCATGTAATCATATGAGTTTTTATTGGGAGGTTTTGATATATTAGGTGGCAGAAGATTTCTTTTAAGTAAAGAAACTAATGTCTCATGTGATCTTTTTTTTCCCCCCAAACTATGAGTTTCCTAATTTTTATGTTTGGCACAGATCAAATTAACCTGACAGGACAGAAGGGCAGGGAGCTATTTCAGAATCTATTGGATGACATGAATCTACCTTGATCACAATAAGTCTTATCTTGATCATGAAAGGGTTTTTATTTGTATTGGTTGATGGTGGTGATAGGACTAAAGCATTCTCTTTGTCTCTCCAGGGCTGGTTGATTTGTGAAGAGCCCACATGTCGAAATCGAACTCGGCACCTTCCCCTTCAGTTCTCCCGCAATGGACCACTTTGCCAAGTCTGCATGAAAGCTACACTTCGACTAGAGGTAATGGTTGCCTCATGCTCAAGAACTGTATGTGGCGGGGCATGGGGATGTTAGCTTGTACCTTAGTTCTGAGAAGTGGATATTTGATATATGTCCTTTGGTATATGTCCTTTGGTGATACCTACTACCACACACATGTGTTTAAGAAAATATCCAGACTTCAAAAAGATACATGCTTTAATTTTCACATTATGAACAGTATGTATTTATATCTATAAGAGAAACTGATTAGTTCTTATATGGGTTACTCAAATGTCTTTGGTTACCACTTTTTAATTACAGAGGAGAGAGAACTTTTGTAGAAGCTGCTGTTATCTTCAGACTAGATCAGAACCCCTTTTGCAAAGGCCAAAAAACCTCCCAAACCTGTACCATAAAGGGCTTATTTGATTTTTATGGAATTCCATTGTTTCTGAGTAGCAGCACAGAGGGATAGTTCTCAAACCTTTTCTCGCCTCAGTACATAAACCTTAGGCACAAGGCTGACTCTCGGCGACTCCCATCTGGTGAGCACGCAGTCTGGAAGCACTTTCCTCCTTTGTCATCCACTGTGAACATCATGGACCCAAGCAGCATTTGCTACACTGTGGGGAGAGGGGTATTTGAAGGTCTTCCAGGCAAAGTGGATTTTGTGATCAAGTAATTCGAGCCAACTCTGAGTTAGTCAAGGTTAAACAGGACTTACTATAGACTGTCACAGAACCTGTAAAATGATAAGGTGCAGTCTACTTCACCAATACAGGACTGTTATGTGCCTCACTTTCCAAATTTTTCTGGTCCAAGGATTTATAATGATCTGGGTGAGAAGAGTGAGAACAGGAAGTTTATTACTTATTTACATATTTTTTAACTCATAGACCAGTTTTAACCAAGTTTTGACTTCAGATCTTTTCACTGAAAAGAGCTGATACACGGGCTAGTTTTAGGAAAATGTTTTAATATATCACTTAACAGAATTTAACAAGAATTAACAAGTGGCTGCCACCATTGTATATTCCCTTGTTCTTATGCATATCCATATGTATTTTTATGTGGTTTCAGTCATAATGAAGATATGCTTTTATATCATGTTTATCTTTTGTTGAGCATCTGTCACTGTTGCTGTTTAATTTTCAGTACTAAACTTTTAAACACAAATTTAACCATTCCTTTCATTGAACAATTTAGGCTACTTTTACCTACCCCTTTACTAGAAAATTGTGATGAATGTTTTCCTGCTTAAATTATTTATTATTTGAAATATTTATCAACAGTACACATTCAAGTGTGTAAATTTAATATAGACATGATTCATGTTGCCATATTGCTTTCTAAATGGATTATCCCAACTTAGGTGCCAGTTTTACCACTACCTTTGCAGCATTTGTGCATTATCATTAATTTATTTTTAACTAATTTGATAGGTATAAAATGTTCCTTGACTTATTTTTAGTATGTCTTTGCTAATTAGCAAAGTAGATGGTAGATTTTTTTCAAAATATAGAGCACGTAAGTGAGAATTAGTTGTTGCAGCGAATTCTTTTTACGTCAGTCTCATCCTATGACTTGCACCAGCAGGTGCAGGAAGAGAACAAAAGTATATATATTTAGTGTGAGTCATCAATCCAGTTGTAGACTCCAGGGGAATCACCTAGCTTCATGAACTGATGCTGCCTTTGAGATTTTTTAAACATCTAGCTCATCAAATCATGTTCAATGAAAACTGAATTACTTCTTAGAAAGTCAGCCAATCTTAGGATTCCATTCTTGGTGACAGAAAGTACAAGGAAAATGTACAGCTAGTAGATCGGTAACTTACCAGTAAGTGCTGATGATGTTATTGGTAGTGGTTTAATACATCAGGTTATCTTTTGTCATTTATGATCCTATTTTAAATGAGTGAACCAACACACACATTTTGAAGTATTTTTTCCCTTCATTTTCTTGTCCTCAAATTGGGAGCTTGTTAGGCAGGCATTTACCAAGGTTATCAACTACTTTTCCCAGGGAAAATCTTAGCCCCTCAGGCCATGTTGCTGCTCAGAACATGACCCCCTGAAATAACTGGAGGTTCAGAGCATCCTGGTTGCCCTTCACCATTCCTTGCAGAGACCTTAACAGTGGGACTGAGCCTACTCCTCTTCAGTTCATTTTCAGTTACTAGTGATGAGTAGGAAACCTCTTAATTCTGTTTATGATGTTCCTGGGCTTTCCTAATAGGAAGAAAAAGCTATATCTTTTTAGAGATCATTTTAAAGTGGCTCCAGAATCAGTGATGCCATGGGGGAAGATCATTGTAATTACCATAGGGTTTTCCAGAGGATCTATTTTGCAGGATTATGCTTATCTGGTTCTTAAGTTCTGGGTTACTGTGTGTCAGTCATACATTACCTTCATTTAATAATAATTTATTAAACACCTATTATACCCTAGGCACTTTGCTAGGGACTAGGGACATAGCAACGAACAGGAGATTTCCTTATTTATAAAGCTAGTTTAGGATTGCATTACATGGATTATATAAAATCGATATCTGTGGGCAGAATTAGGCATTTGTAAATATCTGTATGGGCATAAACATTAGACTTTCCTAATGCTTAACTAGTGGGGACTTTAAATACATTGTCAAGTTTGATGGTATAATACTTACTTCTTACTGTGCCAATCTGATCCTCACATAATAAATCTACTCTCATTTAGTCCTGTGTTGTAGTTGGCTTGAGTACTTTCCAGAATTGACTTGGGATTTGAGAGCTGGCTCTTCTTCTGGCTCCTCTTGCCAGAGTTATGAGAAAGAAAGCCGGGACGGTTTTGTTCCCAGGGTTTTAGACGTGTTAGATACCTTAAAAAAAAAAACAACCCAGAAATAAAGAAATCAGTTGAGATTTTTCAGGTTCACGGCAATTTAACAGTATACAAATTTCTGATTATTAGAAATACGCTCTCTGGGCATTCTCTGCACATAGGAAGTGCAAATAAATACAGGAATGAAAACTCCATTGTATGTGTAAGTTCCTAAGTAAATAGAACCTTTTTTCACACTGATGATAGACGACTTATCCAAGTTAGTGAATAATTATTTTAATATTTATTTCTTTTAAGGATGTGACTTTTTGACTTATTAAGGTGGTCAAGTCTGTATGGCTGTGATCCGAACACACAGGGGATCCTATATTACATAGTTAACCAAGAATATGGCATTAGTTTGATTTTGTTTTCTAATTAGAACTGAGATTCAAACCAAGTTAAACTTTTTCTCATTAGCATTGCCATTCTTGATGTGGAGATGAGAAAACATCTACATGTGACCCACTTGCTACTCCTGCCCGGGAGCGGGTTGGGCGCGAGGGAGGTAGGAGCACTGTGGCAGAGTTTGGTTTATTCAACTAAATTTCTTAAAGGCCTCTTATGAGGAAAGCACTAAAATGACTTCTAGTCCTACTGTAGGACACCTCTAGTGTTTCTCACATTATCCTTAATTGTAGAATTCTTAAAATCTTTTGTAACAGAATGTTTGTACCATGTAGGACTCTAGCCTTCATGGGACAGGGGAAATACTGAACTCGTGATCATTGTATGTTGCAATTTCATTATGGCTGTGGCTGATGGATTATCAATTTAAAAAGTAAGTTAGAGACAGTGTGAATGTTGCCAGGCTATGTGGGACAATGTCTTGTTTCTATGTAAGATGAAAACAGTTGTGGTCTCTTAAGGAAGTAATCATAAGCTATACAGGAAGAGAAACTTGGGACTATGATGGAAAGTCTTAAACAACTGTACTGAGTCATTGGTTGCCCTCCAGTAGACAGTGGGCTTTTACATGAAGGGCCCTTTGGAATTCTCTGCTCTGATTTTCCTGTGCTTGTCTTTTGATGCAGAGTTTTGGGCTTCTCTGGCGGCTCAGATGGTAAAGCATCTGCCTGCAATGCAGGAGATCCGGGTTCGATCCCTGGGTTGGGAAGATCTCCTAGAGAAGGGAACGGCTACCCACTCCAATATTCTTGCCTGGAAAATTCCATGAACTGAGAAGCCTGGTGGGCTATAGTCCATGGGGTTGCAAAAGTTGGACATAACTGATCGACTAACACTTTTTGCTAAATTCTACATACAGATTTGCCTACCATGAAGCAGATAGCAGCCTTCCTTTCAGTATGGTATTTTTCTATTTAAAAAAAAATATTGAGATGAAATTCACATGACAGAATTAACCATCTTAAAGTGAATAATATAGTGGCATTTAGTGCATCCACAGTGTTAAGTGATCACCACCTCTGTCTAGTTCCAAAACATTTTAATCCCCCCCACCAAAAAAAAACCCTGTATTTGTTAGGCAGTCACTCCCCATTCCTTCCCCTTCTTTTGGCTACTGGAAACAACTGATCTGCTTTCTGTCTCTATGGACTTACTAAGTTGGATATTTCATATAAATGAAACCATACAGTATGTGACATTCTGTACCTGGCTTTTTTCACTTAGCATAATGTTTCTGAGTTTAATCCAAGTTGTAACCTGTGTCAGTACTTCATTACTTTTTATGGCCAAATAATAGTTCATTGAGTAGATATACCACAATGTATTTATCCATTTATCTGTTCATGAACATTTGAGTTGCTTCTTTCAATATGCTTTTGAAGTTTATTTTATCTTCATTACTTAGATAGATCTTGTGTTCAGTCTCAATTTATGTCATATGCCTCCCTTGTTGGTCCTAGTTTAGCTGAATGGTGCTATACAAGGCTAGACTGATCCTTCCTTTGTTCCTGCTTTCAGTAAGCACCTACTCTTTGCCTATTTTCTGAGAACCTTTTAGATATTTGAAGGTAGCTATCTTTCTAAGCTTTTCCCTGCTAGGCCAAGTATCTCTAGGTCTTCAACCATTTCTCTAGTGCTTTGCTTTCAGAATAATGATCCTAGTCCAGGGTTTATGTCCTGATAAAATGATTAGCCCCAAATTGCACACAGCTCTTGGATAGCTCTCATTAGCACTACTATGGAGCAGAATAAACCTGCCACTACCAGCT